CAATTAAGTAACACAAAGTATAGAAGATGTTAATTCCTTTCCTCATAATCACATATTCCAAACTAAAAGACTTTCGAAAACACCTTTCATTTAGAAAAACTCTCAAAGAACGGTAAAACTCTCAGACAATTCCTTACCTAATTTCAAATAAACCATGATATAGATCACAAATATCATCTAATTAGACACACTGACACAGCCAGTATTGCAGGAAGATGTTAATATCTTTCCTCATAATCACATATTCCAAACTGAATGTCTTTAAAACGGTAAGAAAAACAGTATTATTAACTTACTCGTACACATATTCCTAAATAACTTGTTGGAGGTTGAGATATGACTAGTTATATATATATATATACTGACTAAGTTATACCTACTGGTTTATATTAACTATAGTTTCTAGTGGGTCCACCACACTCTACCTCTCTCTCTCTAGGTCTACTGCTCTAGTCTGAATCATATTCTACTACCAGTTATAAATAGAATAACAGACTTCCTTACACTTACAGTTTTTACACCATATATCATCCTTTCCTTACAGTTAAATTTCTTATTTCAACTGGGATTTCTTGTACTGGTACATAACTTATTATTTTTAAATTGATATTTTCTAAAATATGAGCTGTTTTAATAAGTTAAATTGTTTTAGCACTAATAGTGTAAGTTTACCAAGTTTCTCCATTTTAAATTTCTTATTCAAAAAGTGATTCTAGTATTATAAATACTTATTATTTCAATAACTTTTTACAAAATATCACTTAATTTTAATCAAGATATGCAACTGATATCTAGGTCAATTTAGAACAAAACTTCACTCAAAGATACAGATTAAGTAGGGATTCAATAAAGGTTTCTGAACTTATCGTATCTAGATATTTATTTCTTTTTCTAAACTTCAGATGGATAATATAAATGTACTATAAAATTGGGATCAAATTATCTATAACACAATACAGATGAATAGTTTATATTTATTTAAATTATGCCATGGAATGACCTGAAATAGGATTATAATTCTGAACATTTTACTAGATTGTATACTTAATTACTAGCAGGTTTAACTCTTTCAATCCTAGTGGACAGAGTGGATGGTAATTAAAGCATCTGTTACCAAGTTACGTCACACAAACATCATATAAGAAATATAACTTGGAGTTCAGGGTATATGATGTTTTATTTCATTTATACTCAGTGTTCAAAGGGTTAATTTACTAACTTATAGCCATAACTGAAAACATAGTTACCTGAATCCTAATCTGTCTGCTAAAGAGTTTTAAGTAAATACTAAAGAGAAAATTGGAGGATTGAATGACTATAAATATAGATTCTACAATCACACATGACTGGTAAATTGAATATCAAAATATAAAACATATGTTATTCTGTATCTAATTACTACAGCTTTCTACAGAATTACTCAAATCTTTAACTTCACCTTCAATTTATAACAATGGCCATAGGCCAAGCTATTTATAAATTACTAAATACAATCTTTCAAAATTCTGCCAAAATAAAACACTTATTGGATTACAACTATTTGTAAGCCTAATGGTTTTTTAAACTATCGTATATTGTAAGTACTAACTAATAAAATCTTCGCTCAAAATAGTTAGCTTTACTTTTACTCTTTTTCAGAATATCTCAAGTAGTCTTACATAAATTATGTTGTATTTTTACCACAAATTAAAGTTGTAAAGAATTTTGAAAAACAGAAATTTTGTAAGCCATTAGAAATGGGAGCAGTAAAATAGAAAATGAAACTAATTGCAAGTCATCAACAACAAGTGCTTTATGATAGCAACAAAAAAATTTGGTCATCATAAGACATTTAAGTAGATGTCAAATAGAAAAGTAACACAAATTTTTTTTATTAAAAACGGATTCATCCAGCATTGAGTTCAAATCTACACAACTAGACTTGGCAATCATCTTAAAGTGAGTTATTTCAGTCATAATCAAGAATTGAAGAAAACATGTGAAGTGATACATTAGATAATATCAGAAAACTGAAACAGACCATTTTGGCACTGATAGAAAATTGATACACAAACCTCTCGTGTTTTCTAGAATTAACTACTGGTATTACAAATTTCTTTGAAGGGATATTAATGTTTAAGTTTGCTTTTGAATGTGATAGAGAATTCATCATCAGCAGCCATACACTACTGGTAATTGCTATGGTGTGATGGCACCTTAAGGTATCATAGTTCCATTACATTAGATCACAGTGATATCTGATTTTTGAATGCCAATCCTCTAACTGAAAGCTGTGTTGACGTTATCAAGGGTTCGATTGTACCACCTTGGTGGATACGGATGAGTTTAATACAATTCATAAGGTTTTACAGTACAGGTACCAATATATTAAACATTCAGAGTAACATGTTGAGTCCCTAACTACAAGACCTGTAGTGGGCTAGTTGTTGACTGTCTTGTACCACCCTGATTAGTATAATACAGATCAAGAGGTTTTACAGTATCAGTACCAACATGTCTTGTCCCACCCTGATGAGTATAAAACAGATCAAGAGGTTTTACAGTATCAGTACCAATATGTCTTGTACCACCCTGATGAGTATAAAACAGATCAAGAGGTTTTACAGTACAGGTACCAATATGTCTTGTACCACCCTGATGAGTATAATACAGATCAAGAGGTTTTACAGTATCAGTACCAATATGTCTTGTACCACCCTGATGAGTATAATACAGATCAAGAGGTTTTACAGTATCAGTACCATTATGTCTTGTACCACCCTGATGAGTATAATACAGATCAAGAGGTTTTACAGTATCAGTACCAACATGTCTTGTCCCACCCTGATGAGTATAATACAGATCAAGAGGTTTTACAGTATCAGTACCAATATGTCTTGTACCACCCTGATGAGTATAATACAGATCAAGAGGTTTTACTGTATCAGTACCAATATGTCTTGTCCCACCCTGATGAGTATAATACAGATCAAGAGGTTTTACAGTATCAGTACCAATATGTCTTGTACCACCCTGATGAGTATATAATAATATTATAAACTATGAGGTATTACAGTATCAGGGTAATATCTGACCAGTTGGCATCTAGCCTATTGTTATCTAACTAATACCTTTCATCCTGGTAATCTGAGAGGTAAATTAGTATCTGGCATCATCTCTCTATAGATACATCATAGTCTACTTGTTTACTGATAGTAAGGGACTATGAATAACTACTCTGCTAAAAATCAAGGCTGTTGGCTTCAAGGCAAAAGTTTTATCTGATAACTGAAGCAATTGGATCACAGCAGTTCATGGCTATCATAATCACAATGTCAAGTTGGTAAATAGGTAGATGACAAGTTAATGTTCGCTTCCAGCGGATGCTGATATTGCAAACTAGGTAGTTGTTGGTAGTCATAGTAGTCGGTAGTTGGATTGGTTCAAATTGGATGATGCTGTGTTGTCAGTTATGAACTTGATCTTATACCTTGACTGCAATAGCAATCTTTCTTGTACAACTATCACAGAATGCAGCAATTTGATTGGATAGTACGCCAGCTAGTTATCTCTGACAAAACTGTCAAATACTGTGGAGTCAAGTCTCGAGCTCTAGTCAGGCAAAACTGACAAATATAGCCACATCAGCAGTCCTGTTAATACCAGGTAGTGTATAGATTGTTATTTGCTATGAACCTGCTGGTATTTAAAGTATAATAATAACAGTAAGATTTAGTAGTAAGAATCTTGGCATTAGAATAATAAACATTTTAATAACCTCCACTACCTGTAAATCATCTTCACAATGTCAAGATATTACAATCTCTAACATCTAATACCTCGACATCATTAGGCACTTTACTTGTAACACAGAAGATTTTAAATGATACAATTTGATTGTGTGATTAACTGACCACTTCATCATGTGAAACATAAAATATTATTGTGACCCATTTGATTTTTAAATCAAAAACTGATTCGATTGATCTACTCCACAGTGATTTCACTTTAAGTGCAATTTTATGAAAGAACTGAGTAGTAAAAAATATGTGTTAAAATTTTTCTGATTATTGTTGAATGTATGATTCGGTGAATGGAATTGATGAATAAATAAATGATTAACAAAAGATAAATGATCATCAGAGTAAAGGAATGAATGAAAAGATTAGATGAAGGAATGAATGAACAGAATGAATAAATTGAATGAAATATATCAAAGTTAATGAATGAACTATTTAAAGCTTGATTTGTATATAAATAAAAAATTGGATTATGATGAAATGATTATCAAAATGAAAAAATAAAAAAATGAACCTTTATCAAAAGATATGAATGAAGGGATTAGGTGAATAAATGAATAAATGAAATAACTCACTTTTTTCTGTTTTAGCTCTGTCACCTCTATACCATTATTATTATAGCTGTAAGGATCACCACTTCCATTCTGTTTTAAAATCTAAAATAACATACAGAACAAAAAATGGAAAAAAACTGTGTTGAACTGAGCAGCTTTATCACGCAATCATAGAGGACTTTTCATTTTGTAAAATTCAACTAACGTGATTACTTGTAATGTAAATATCATAAGCAGATTGGTTAGACAATTTAACTGTTGTCTAAATCAAATTTTAATTTAAACAAGTTATTTCCCTTTAAGTTTATTAAAATCAAATTATATTTGAGGTATTTTTTACAGCTTACTAGTATACTATTTCAGTCTATATATTACTTTGATTCTGAGGAATAAACTGAATAGACTGCACAATGCCAATCTATAGTCAATATCATGCTCTTAGAGAGCTCACTCTGTTAATAATTTGACTTCATAAAATGAATTGCTGGTATTATCATTTATAACTGATCACCAAAATGTAAAATCAATCCTGTGCTAACTTTGTTAGGTTTCTAAACAAAGTATCAGTTATAAAAGATTAATTGGAAGAGAAACTACAACTATTAAAAAAGACCAACCTGTGCATTGAGGTTACGACTCACATGATTTTTACTGGATCGTCTGTGACTACGAGGACTAGCTAGTTTATGTGAGGACGGAATATGAGGAGGAGATTCCGGTCGTAACCTAGGTGACTGTAATGGCTGCGTTATGACTTCACTGGCTACGATTTGACGAAGATTTTCTTCTAATGACTGTTGAATTATGGGATCACTGATCCAACACAAAAACAGTTCATCAACTTTCGCTTTTAATTTTGGCTTCAACGCCATTTTGGAATGCTGTCTTTAAGGGACACTATTCTACGTGATTAATACTCTTGACTATCTGGTTTTAGACCTACATATTGTTAGTCACTGTAAATACCTGTAAGAGAACAAAAACTGATATCAATTACATAAGCTTATAACACTTTAATATATCACATCCTGGTCAATGGGTTTTAAAACAAAAACTAATTTAATAAATCTTCAGCGTTATCAGTTTGAGTTTGATCACAAATTAAACAGGTAAATTAAAAAATAATATTTTGTTTTTATGATCATATTATATTTTACTGCAAGAGAATGCAATAAGAAATCTTTGCCTAATATCCTTTTCTGTTTGCTGGCCTGCTATTTTTTTTAATGGATGATAACTTTCCCAAAGGCCGATTTGACTCAAAATAAGGTAATCCAGGTAGGTAGGTAGATGACAAGTTAACGTTCTCTTCCAGCAGATGTGATATCGGATAAGGCAACCCAATGAGTGATAGAGGTTTTTAGGATGCCAGCCAGTCAGCTAAGCAAACACATGTCATACATACATTAGCCTAATCAAATGAGGAAATATCATTTCTAGCCCCCAAAGCCATTTTAACACAAAAACATTAGAATGTCTCTTTGGGTAGAGGATAAGTACAAATAGCCATGATGTGCATTAGTACATGTACAGACTCATTTAAACAGATAACACCTATTTGTTTACATTGGTAATAAATGGGCACACCTACTCACTCACTGTCTAAAGATAACAAATCAAATCAATTTTCGACAGAGAACATATTTTTTGATATAAATCAACCGTTGTATCATCCTTGAACATCAGATGAGCAAGTAGGTCATGCATGATAACGTAATCCCCACGGAATCAATTAGTATTTAGTCGTTATTTGAGATAAAAGCAGAATTCTTACCGCTTTTTCGGAAGATAGTATCGAGAACGCCGATTCGAAGCGAGACTAACAGGAAATACGTCATAACCTTGAAATTCTAAAAATAAATTCGGGGTATCCCGTCAACTGGTACGAAACATCCCGTCAAATCATACTTGTCAAACATGTCAAAACAAGATGGATTAAGACCAAAAGGGATTATGCCACAAAAATACTTAATATATTTATGACATTAAAAAGTAACCTTGATATGAGATATGTTGTCGCCAATAAAATCTAAAAGCTCTGATTCGGATGAGCGATACAAATGTGATCTGTGTGGAAAATGTTACAAGAAAAATAACGGATTGTTGAGCCACATGAGGATGCACCTTGGATTGAAACCCTTTGATTGCGATATATGTGGTAAATCATTTACAGAAAAGTGTAATTTAGTGCGACATACTAAAATTCACACTAATGAAAAACCTTATTCTTGTGATATCTGTAATAAAGCATTCAGTCGACGTGATGATCAGATGAAACACTTTAAGATTCATTCTGGAGAGAAACCCTTTAAATGTGATGTATGTGATAAAGCATTTGTTCAGAAAAGTTCTTTGGTCAGTCACATGAAAACACATACAGGAGTGAAGTCATATGAATGTGGACTTTGTCAAAAATCATTCAGACACAGCAACTCTTTGATGCGTCATATGCGACTCCACACGGGAGAAAAGGATCACGAATGTGACATTTGTGGTAAATCATTTACATCATTAAAATGTTTCACAGATCATAGAAATAACCACCAAGAAGGTGAAACTTTTATTCAGTGTGAGCATTGCTGGAACACCTTCCCTAATGAAATTAGTCTCGAAGCTCATCTAAAGAGAAAACATTTCCGAGTCAAACCCTTCCAATGTGATATGTGTAGTAAGTCATTTCATTCAACTATCGGTGTTGAAGAACATAAAAGAACTCACACTGGAGAGAAACCATTTAAATGTGAGATTTGTAATAAATCATTTAGACATAGTAGTACTTTTAATAGACATGTTTTAACTCATAAAGAGAAAAGTCATAAATGTGAGGTTTGTGGAAAGTGTTTTACTCTTCGACCCTCTTTAATAAAACATCTAACATTTCATTCTGAAGCCAAACCTCATAAATGTGACATTTGTGGCAAATCTTACGCTTTTTCAAATAGTCTTAAAGATCATAAAGGAAGTCATGCAGAAGGGACACCGTTCAAATGTAACCTTTGCGGTAAAAGATTTAAAATTCGGCGATATCTGGTAACTCATATTAAAATACATACAGAGGCTGTTCATTGTGCTATTTGTGGTTACGTATTTTTAAAGCCAAGTGATTTACAATCTCATATATCTATACATCAATCGAACCAAGAACCTTATTCTCAAGACCTAAATTAGAATGATTTCAGTGTCCCAGTTCCAGTTCCAGTCTTTTTGATCAATGGCTAAAGTCAATCTTAAATTTAATTTAATCCAGTTAGATTACTATATTTCTTAGAATCTATTACTTATCTTAGTTAAGATTTCGAGATTAAGAGTAGTAGGACTATGCCAATCTATGGAGAGAAACCATTTAAATGTGATGTCTGTCATAATAGATTTAGCCAACTGAAACTCTTGAAGCGACATGAAAAACTACATACTGGAGAGAAACCATTTAAATGTAATGATTGTAGTAAATCATTTACACGTAAATATGGGCTGAAATTACATGTTTGTAAAAATGTATCTCAATTTACTGACAAGGAAACTGGCTAGCTGAATTTAAAGTGCCTTTTGAACAAGGAGAAGTATTTTAGAGCTGTATTACTATAGAGCCATATTACTTAAAGGGCATTATTTTTAGATGTGTTGCTTTAAAATTTTATTACTTTACTTTACTTTAGTTTTACTTACTTTATTTCAACTTTTAATTGTTTGATTTTGTGGTAATAGAAGGCTCTCTTCTATAGAAGACCAATCCAAGAAGACAACAAGAATGTTGGTGTATTTTATAATTATTATTAGGCAGTTTAATTAAGTTTATTGTCATGTCCTTCTTCAAACTTGTACTTAGTTTTTAAGTGTCCATTACTTAATAACTTCCATGTTTTTTTATATCAGTGAGATTAATGCAGAATATAGTTACAACAGAACTGTTTGATTTTGTTTTATTACAGCCATATATTGGGACTGGGCCTTTAAATATTTCTCGGTGATGAACCTACTCATTACCAGTATATGTTAAAGGGACTCTACCGCTTAGAATGAACATAAAATTTAACTTCTCAAACTTGATTCAAAAGTCATTAAACTCATCAGTGGCCTGGTGTCAAAACTTTATAACAGATTCGCTGTTTAATTTGATAAATCAATAAGTATTGAAAAAAAAAAACGCTTAATAATTTAACTCTTTCTGGCCAAGTTTGAAAATTTTATGTTCATTCTTAGAGGTAGTGTTCCTTTAAATAACTTGTACAACTTGTACATGAAGAAAATATGTTAACCAACATATTAAATAAGTGAAGCAGTGCCTTCAAATTGTTGATAGCTCAAGATACACTTGTGAATAGGGTATCACGTTTGTTTGAAGTTCTAATACGAAAATCTTTTGGTGCGAAATGACTCGGTCTCTTTATACCCGTAAAAAGGAAAGTTTTTGTGCGAAATGACTCGGTCCCATTATACCCGTACAAATGAAAATTCCTCCTATTTACCAAAGTTAATAATGTTAAAATGATTTCGTTGTTTCTCCGATTAACATATAACAGCTTATAATATTTATACAACAGTAATGAAGATCTAGTTCTAATAGACCATTCCTGGCATTATAGTTCATGTTTCCTATTTCATAAGCCATGAGCATAGGTAGGACTAATAGGCCGATATTGGCCATTCTATTGAATCATTGAGTGATTGATTTTCCATGTAGGCCTACAGTTCCAAAAATATATTTCTATATATAACTCCAATGTTTAGGATCTATAAGTATACTCCGATAGTCCATAATATTGGATTTTTGGAGGCTTGGAGTTTGAACAGAGGAGATTTTATTCAACAAACCCTGACCCTATTTTATGATTATAATGGATTGAGGTCATATTGGTGATCAAAGCCAAAGTTGGTCATGTATTGGTTGGTATTACTTCTACATATAAATGATGTGCTGCCCTAGTTGTAGATGTCTTACCATCTGAAAGGAGCTCAATTTCAGCTTTATAGCCTACCCTTCCTATTAAGTACACCTTTTTTGAAATATTTTTGGTGTTTCTTTTCTAGGATGAGAGAAGTTTTATTTAACACAATCATACCAATATTAAAGAGCAAATTCAACATCAATGCTGCATGTCGAAGAATGAGTATTTCTGTGTCTCAAACAGACAGTTTAATGGACGATATAATATCTGTTAAAATAACAGAATTAAAGCCTCATAAGCTGGTTACATTATCCGCTCAAATCAAAGAAAAACCCAGTGAAATATTTATATCTAATGGATGGTATAAAGCTGATAACAATGGAGATGTGGACCTTGCTAAAGATGCTTCATTAAATGGTACATACACTGGAATAAATCCAATGGGTTTTCTGTCCAGTATGGTTTCTGGTTGTGATTCAGATGGGACTCTGGCTCTCCACAAATCAGATGTAACTCAACCACATAAAGTGGAACTCTGTGTTTATGATGGGCATAAACTTTTAAAAGAATTGTTATCAGAAGCATTGAAACCAATCAGCTCTATAGTGATCAATCGATGGTATTTGAAACCTAATGTTCGCAGATTGGAAGTGAATGAAGGAAAAATCAGAGGCACTCTCTTTATTCCGGCTGGGAATTCCACACATCCTGGTATCATAGACTTGTACGGGTCCTCAGGAAGACTAAAAGAGACACGAGCAGCCTTATTGGCTTCTAGAGGGTTCACCACTCTAGCTTTAGCTTATTTCCAGTACTTAGACTTACCGTCCACTCTAGCTGAAGTTGATTTTAGTTATTTTGAAGAAGCTGTTAGTTGGTTTAAACACCACCATAATGTTCAACCAGGAGGGGTGGGGGTTGTAGGCTTATCTAAAGGTGGTGAATTTGCTAATCTAATGGCTAGATACATTCCAGATATCAAATGTATTGTTAACATCAATGGGGCACCATTTTTATCATTTTTTAATTTAAAAAGAAATGGTAAATTATTCCAGAAAGCTGTAGAAATTGACTCTTCGAATATTTTAGTCGAGAATAATGCGTTTACCTTAAAGAACGCCTATCAATGTTGTAACAGTGATATTATTCCATTATGGGAGACAAAGGTTAAAACATTGGTTATCACTGGGCAGGATGACAGACAAAATAACTCAGAATTTTATCAGAACTTGAGTGACCTGTACCCAAGTGATAGGAAAGAGAACTTAACTATACTGAGTTACCCTAATGCAGGGCATCTTATACAACCTCCCTTTACACCTCTTACTACCAGTACTTACGGTGCCAATTTCTCTGGAATTATTCTAGTCAATGGTGGCACCAATCCTGGACATTCTCATGCACAGACTGGTGCCTGGAAGAAAATGCTTAAGTTTCTGAATGAAAATCTGAACACTTCTAAAAGTCAGTTATGAAAATTCAATCATAACCTGGAATAAGTTGAAATGGAATGGATTTCAAAGCCTCTCAAATACACCTTTAAAGGGATAGGTGTGTCATTTTCGGGGGTTGGTTTTAGTTTTGAATATATGTAAATAGTCTTCAGAAAACTAAAAATGTACGAAAATCACATAATTCTTTTAAAAATACTTCAAACTAGGAATTTTACTCACTATTTCTATAGTATCTTTTCTATATATCACAAAGTATCTTATATTGACGAGTTGTCATTTTAATATTCAAACGCAGGTAATTCTGGACACACATGGATTTGGAGGCTCAAATTTCGACTGTGAGCACCATTACTGATTAGCTCAACTAAAAAAGATTCCAGTTTCTGAGACTAAAGTATGATTGGTCAAAAAAATGGCCTATCTTTCCCTTTAATTAAAACTAATTGTAAGCTTAAACAACTAAGTTGATTAGTACCTGGTATACATAGTAATGTGGTAAATATGTGAACAGATTGTGACATGATAGCAGTGAACCACCATTGATCTCTATTTAAAAATATTCCACTGATCATTCCAATGATTTTGTTTGCAGGAAAATTTGTAAGCTTTCTGAATGTTTGCTCAATGTATGATTTTAGTGATTCTATGATTTCCCATATAAATGAAACGGCTCATCAAATCAAATGGTTAAATCCTGACCACCTATTCTCAGATACACTGTAAGGAATGAAGTTATTGAACTGCAGGAAATTAATACAAGTTTTATTCAATATACATATAGTAAATGTATAATAACTATATTACGATACATAAAGATGATGATAGCATAGCAATCTTATTTTTGTAATTAGTGTCCCTGATCAACATCCAAAAACCTTTTAAAACCTCTATAAACTCATTGTGGAAGACAGGTGTTAAACCATTGGGCAGTAATTATTAAGCAGAAGCAACATAAGGGCAGAACTTAATAATTGTGTGGGAAACATTGTAAGGACAGCAGCTCTTTTTAAATTTCCAATGTGTACCAAACCAGTTTTGGATTTCTTGCAAATAATAATTTCAAATGTGGAGAGTTTAAATACATGTATTAAATGCCAAGTTGACAAAGCTATTATGATCCCTAGAACAAACACCAATATAATTAAAGAACAAAACAACATAAACCTCCAATAAATGTAAAACAAACTTTATCTAAAATGGAAATTTGCTTTGGCATTGTTTAAAAAATAAAGTGTAATTTTTGTTTATGAACTTTTAAATTCCAGTTATTTCCAAATAAATTACCGCAGATATCACATTTACTAGGTTTATCTCCAGAATGAGTTAGCTTATGACGCCGATAGTTACTAGAAGTACAGAACTTTTTATCGCAAATAGGACAGTGGTAGGGTCTCTCATTAGTATGATAGCGTCGATGGTTCTTCAATTCATTTCGGGTACTAAAAAATTTCCCACAAAACTCACAGTTGAATGGTTTCTCTCCAGTATGGGTTTTATAATGAGCATTTAAATGACCAGTGGTTTTATAAGACTTGCCACAAACATCACAATAAAAGTCTTTAGTTAATGTATGGTTTTTAACATGTCTATTGAATAAATCTTTATTTAGGAATATCTTGTGACAAACATCACATTCTTGAGGTACTGGATCTTTATGTTTTAATTCATGTTTCTCCAGACTTTCTTTGGTGCTAAATGACTTATAACAAGAATCACATTTAAACAGTTTTAGATGTGTTTGTATGTGCACAGATAGAAATGACTTTTTCACGTAACCTTTTCCACAATATTGACAAACATAGGGTGTATCATTGTTGTGAGCTCTAGTATGATACAGTAAAGAATCACTTCTATTATATGCTTTACCACAAACATCACAAGTGAAGAGTTTTTCTCCAGTATGAGTGGCCATGTGAGATTGCCACCTGCGTTTGTCTTTAAATGACTTATCACAAATCTCACACTTGTGTTTCTTTATATCTTGTAAATGAGTGGCCATGTGTGTTTCCAGATTATCCACGACTGAGCCACACACAGCACACGCCGCCATACCAGTTTCACCAAATTCCTCTAGCATTTGCTGTGAATCAGTCTCAGAAGGGTAAAAATCTCCTTCTTGAATCCATGCAGGTTTTTCTGGGGATTCCCCAGTTGTAGATGAATTTTCCCAATTAGAAAAGGATTTCCCCTCATCTGATGACAGGTCTTCACCATCACTAGGTATAGTTGTATTGCTCAAATCTGGTTCCCTTTGAGATGATATTCCATCTGGGTTGAGAGAGTTTCTCTCTTCTATTGAATATTCACCAATTATTCGGAAATTTGCAGCTTCTGAGGAATAGGCACGACCTTTCTGAGAATTACCAGCTGATTGAGAGTTGGAAGTAGGTTTTATAGTGGTGAGTTTACTCTGCCCTGCTTTCACATGGGCTTCAACATGTTTCTTCCAACTTCTTCTTTGTCTAAATGATTCACCACAAACATCACAAGTATGTGGTTTTTCTCCAGTATGTATTCTAACATGATCTATTAAAGTATCTTTTCTATTAAAAGATTTATCACAATAGTCACAAGGGAAGTTGTTTATGATAAAATGTTGTTTAGCATGACGGTTATAGGAATATTTATTAGTAAACATCCTACCACAAACATCACATTTTATAATAGTGTCACCTCTATGATTCTGTTCATGAAGATCTAGGGTCTCCTCACTAGTAAAAGTCATCAAACAAAATCGACATTTAAAACATTTTAAATGGGTTCTTTTATGACGATTTAATAAAGCTCCTTTGACATAAGATTTCCCACAGATGTCACAAGTAAAGGGTCTGTCTCCAATATGATTTTTAATATGAATTTCCAGCGAATGACTTCGACTAAATGATCTACTACAGATATCACAAGTGAAAGGTTTCTCTCCAGTGTGTATTCTCATATGAATTTCTAAATTAGTATAAATACTAAAAGTTTTACCACAAACATCACACTGATTTTCCTTTTCTTGAATATGAATTTTCATGTGTTTATCTAGGTGTTCTACGACTGCTCCACAAATAGCACAAGGTACAAGTTTCTTCTTACGAGAGTGGAGTTTAATATGGGCCTTTAAACATGCATCAGATATAAATGACTTATCACAAACATCACATTTAAAAGGTCTTTCTCCAGTATGTTTTCTCATGTGTGTCTTTAACCTACGTTTTTGTCCAAAAGACTTGTCACACAGTTCACATTTGAAAGGTTTGTCTTTTGAGTGAGTGTTCATGTGACTTCGGAGGCAATCATTACGAACAAACGACTTGTCACAAACATCACATTTAAAAGGTTTCTCTCCAGAATGTGTTCTTTGATGAAACTTTAACACTGTACTGGAACTAAATGATTTACTACAGACATCACAATTATGTTTAGGAACACCATGTTTTCGCATATGATTATTAAAGTTGTATAATTTCTCAAAAGATTTACTACAAACCTCACATTGAAATGGTTTGACACCTTCCTGATGTTTGAGTTTATGTTTCTCTAAACTATCTTCATCATTGAATGTTTTAGAACAGATTTTACACTCAAAAGGCCGAGAATGAATTTTCTTGTGGTCATTTAAAAGAGACTGTTTAAAAAAACTTTTATCACAAACATCACAAGTATAGGGTCTGTCGCGTTCCTTGTGTATTCTCTTATGACTTAATAGATAATCTGTCCGAGTAAATGATCTATGACAAACATCACATTGGTATGGTTTCTCTCCAGTATGAATGCTCATATGTGTTTTTAACCTACGACTTTGTTTAAAGGATTTGTGACATACTCCACATTCGAAGGTGTCTTGTTTATTCTCAGTTATGTCACTGAAATGTAATTCTAAATGTTCCTTAATGTTTTCTACCACCAAGCCACACACCCCACATCCTGATTGTGACTGACTGTCCACCATATTGGATGAGTTTTCAGACTGTGTTTCTATTAAATCAGTAACATTTCTTTCTTTCTGACCATTCCATGACACAATTCTGAAGTAAAAAGTAAGCTTACTATGAAGAATGCAAGTTGTTTAAAAATAATGGCTTTGAGACAGGCCTTAAGTAGAAAACTTGTTAGATTATAATGGCGACTAAATATATCAGAATACAAAAAGATACAAAATTGTAATCTGATTTTAATGAGATTAGTCAGAAGCCAACACATCCATAGCAAACTTCGACAATACAGAGAACTGTGATTTCAATATAGGCTTGTACTTGTTCAATGATTTACAGAATCACAAGGTAAAAAGCCAGCAACAGGGCAACAGCTATCTTGATGGAAATGAATGTCTGAAAGAAAGAGAGCATATCTGCCCAGTTCACTGCATCATCGATGTACTATCACTGAACTATCTTATTTATGTTTGCCTAGTTGTTCACAACAAAAGATCATCTAAGCCTGTTTTGCAACAATGGTGAAACAGTTATTGAGTCAAGTTACACCAATTTACCAATATAATTGCATCAAAAGGTAAGCCACATGCATATTACACTTTAGGCTTTTCAACCTGCAAACATTGACCTACATGATTCATCTGCTAGACTTTAAACTTAATCCGAAACAAACCGCATTACTTTCAACTCTAAAAATACTGCATGATTCAAGTTGTTAGCACTCAAAATCAGATCTGATAAAATCAAACGCCCAGTATTTCCGACAATTGGTGAAATCTACTGTTCTGCCATTAGGCTACTGCATCAATAAAAAAAATAGATATGATGCTTTCCTCAAAGCTCAATGTTTCGGGCTATTCAGCATTCAGCCAGACAGTTGCCGAGCGATTTGCTGAGGTTCTAGTTGTAGGAATACGTAAAGCTTAAAATATCGTCTAAAAGGGGAGGCTTCTGCAAAAAGCAATGCATGAATAGCCATAATCGCATTATAAATAACAACTTTACCTCATTTTCTCACAAACAATAGACAATCGGGCTGAAAGCAATTCTAGTAACAGGCATAATGAGACGTATAATGAGTCAGTTCGTAACAATATTTCTGCTATAAAAAGGTATGTTGTCTAGAAAGCGGAATATTTGTGGGTCTTAGTTATAATTATGCACATTAATCTCAAATACTCGACTTTATGACATTATCCATTATACTGAATAATCACCATACAGATCACAAAAAGGTGTGTTCAAAACTTTGTCGAAACGACTCAATATGTTCACATTATTCCCGTAAATCATATTTTGATTGAACAAAGAGAACGAATTCCATCGAGTTAAATATTTAATATAAGATACATAGTTAACAAGTTAGTCAATGTTTAATTCAATTGGCCATATGTTGATATAAAATATCGCTCAGTTTTGCTCTTGAGGAAGGAACCTGAGCATTGCACTTGCATCTGAAGAACTGTAGAAACCAAAGGCAAAGTTGCCATAACAGCAAGATTAGCCTTAGCCTTTCTTATTGACAATCCATAAATAACCGGAAAAGTCAAATTATATGCACTGACTACAAAAAATAAATACCATAGTCTACTTATGAGGCCTATAGAAACATTCATTTCTATTAAAGAAACACTTCTGTCATAAATTTCATTTGGATTCCATTACAGTTATGGTACGGTTTGGTACCTGAATTTGGAAGAACATGTTGCAGTACTGACTACTGTCCTTCTAGAAATTGAAATGGTGTCTTTTATGATTAGGAATCAACTGTCACTATTTGGAAAGTGTGATGGTGCTAGTTTACAACAACTAATGATTCCTATGAAAGCTTCATGTTGAATCTTAAAGCTCAATATTTCCTGGCAATGAGGCGGTGTGATATAGACCTAAGTCTGAAATTTGAATTTTAAATTGTACTATACACTTGTGCCCTAGTGTTCTTTCCTAAAATGGAGGATAGTGAATTTTGCTGTGGTGTTTGTAATGAAAAGTTTGAAGACAATGAAAATTTGATAGCTCATATGACAGATCATGTTGGCAAACCTATTGAAAATCATAGTGAACCTGGGCCTAAAGAATCTAAAGTCAAACCTAATGGAAGTCCTGTTAAACGAGGGGTGGGAAGGCCAACAGAGAAACGTAGTTATACTTGTGGATTATGTGAGAAGGACTTCAAAGATTCTGGTAATCTTCATAGACATATGAGAACTCATACAGGAGAGAAACCATTTTCTTGTGGTTTGTGTCATAAAACATTTACACGAGGCTGTAACTTACAGAGACATGAACGAACACATACTGGAGAAAAACCTTATAATTGCGATCTCTGTGGTAAATCATTTAGTGAAAATGGAACATTAAGTCGACATAGAAAGTTGCATTATGAAGAAAAACCATTTAAATGTGAAATTTGTGGAAAATCTTATGTAAGAGGATGTTTGTTAAAAACCCACCTTAAACTCCATACTGGAGAAAAACCTTTCAAATGTGAAATTTGTCATAAAAAGTTTGCTGATATGAGTTATGTGAAGCGTCACATGAAAATCCACTCTGATAATAAACATTTCCGCTGTGATATTTGTCAAAAAATGTTTGTACGAAATGACAATCTGATCGCCCATATTCGTCTGCATACTGGAGAGAAACCTTTCTGTTGTGGAGTCTGTGGGAAAACTTTTTATCAAGAAAACTACGTCCGTCGGCATATTAAACACCACACTGGAGAGAAACCATTTAAATGTGATATATGTAGTAAATCATTTATAGAGAAAGGGGATTTAAAAGCTCATATGAAGTTTCACTATAAAGAGAAGAACTATCAATGTGGATATTGTGGAAAAGGATTTTATCAAAGAACTTGTCTTCAACAACATCTTCTCAAATTACATGCTTAATGTCATGTTTGGATTTTAGTTTGTTTCTTGTCATGGAAGATGGCATGCATTCCTCCATTCATCTTGACAATGTTTGGCTATTACAAACTGCTTCTTATACCTTATCTCCTTTCTTGTAATATAGAAGTTTGTAAATGCAAGGATTTGATTGGATTGTACATTTAAAAGAATACAGCCATTCACAGACCTCAACAGAAAGTCTGTAAACAATAATCGATAATGTTTACAGTCTTTATGTCAAGGGCTCTGATTGGCTGTATGGGCGTGGGCAATGTACGATCAAATCGTTGGATTCCATGACACAAGAAGGGTGGCTATTGTAGTCAAGGTAATAGACAAAGATTGTAATATCTTGACCATTGTTATATGGTCCTCTGTTAACAAAATATTGCTAAAAATGAAAGATTTTATATTTAGTTTAGTTTGTTGTATTAATGAGAGCTTGTTAAAACATTGTGTTTTACTCTTTGAATGAGTTGAAGACCATATTTCAGTTTATTTTTTAAATTGATTCTTATATACAGTGACTTTTGATAAAAGTTTATTAAAGTTTACATGCCATATAGGGCTATATAGGGTAACATGCAATTTTTGACATTACTATTATTGTTTTGTTAGTAGATTTAAAGAATTGTGTGAATCAAATTTAGTTAATGAATAAAGTTTTACAAATCTGAATTTTTTTACAACTCCACTGGATGCATCGTAGAATTTTGTGATTTTATAGCATTATATTGTGGATTGCAGTCACAGTGATATGACATTGGCATTGAACAAAGTGCAGAATTGAATGATTTGAAGGATGTGGGGGAACTTCTTGCCATACAAGATTTGGACAAGTCTACAGAATAATGTGAATAGACAAGGTGTGGTGTAATTTGCAGGGTTATTGATACAGTAAAAAGTAGACAGCAAGATCCAGACACAATGCAACACGATTTAATCCACTTGTTTTCTTCAGGTAGGCCTATTGATAATCCTGTACACCCAAATATTCAGATTTTTTTAGCCTTGTAGATGCTGACTAGTTGACTGGACACAATCAGTCCTTTCTGCATTTGAATCATTTCATCTGTAAACGAAAAAATCAATTGACCACCTAGAGTAAAACAACAAGACATGCAATTCCAAAGCATTGTAACAAAATGGACCATAAAACCATAAAAATCTTACAAATAATTAGAGGATATCAATGCATAAATCTTTCCTTATGAAAGTGATGGTATGGCCGTTACAGTATTCGGCTGTGAAAAGACATTGTTACGAAACGTCCCGCCCTCATTATTCCCACCGTAAACAAAATAATCATTCCAAATTATTATATCACTCTTTGGATACAATGGCTTGTAAAGGATCAAACGTCGAAGTTATAAATGTTACGAGTAAACTATACAAGTGTACTTTGTGTCTCAAAGTGTTTGAACTTGAAAGTGAAGTTGAAAATCATATCGATAATGAACATTCCACGTCTTCAACCACCGGCGGCAAAGAAGACAGTGACAGTGGCACGCCCCAAAAACCCACCAATTCACAAGAAAACGTTATTTACAAATGCGAAATTTGTGAAGAAGAATGCCACTCATTACGATATTTAAATGCACATACAATCGTTGTTCATGAGAATGCTGCAAGTAGAAACAAATGTGATGTTTGTTCTGCAGAGTTCAGCTCTGCAAGATTACTCTCTGCACACAAAATAGTTGTTCATGAAGGAAAACAGAGGGAATTGGAAGGCAGTCCTAACAACACAAAGGGGGGTGAGGCTGTGGTGCAAGCAAATGGACAAGAGCAGGATTTTATGCAATCTGATGAAAGTAACCAAGAAACTTTTTCTGAAGACAGATTTCATTTGGATTTTGATGGAAGTAAAAACATTGAAAACAATTACGACTTTGTTAATGAAGGGGAAGAAGAAATGACTAATGAAAAGGTACAAAATCAGTTAAAAATCACCTCAGTTTCAAGTTCAAAGTTGATGTTAAAAACCTCTCACAATGATTCAGTGGAAAGGGAGCGTTCCGTGGCTCTGGTTCACATGAAATGTGAAAGGGTTGTATCCACAGTCAAACTGGCTTCTCCCCTTTCAAATTTCAATTCAGGGGATACGGAAAATTCTGTAAGTAATCTTGATAAGAGACCATTGAATACTCCAATCAGAAATAGTGATAAAAATCACACAACTCCACTATCTACATATGTAATGGTTCTAAGAAGAAAAACACCCAAAACTTCCAATTGTAATGTCACTGAAAGCTCTAAAAACTCTAAAATTTCTGAAAATAAATCAAGGCAGGACAACACTGTTCAAGTCAGTAGAAATGTAAAAAAGAAATATTCAAATTTACATTCATCAAATAAAATAGGAAATCGAAAATCTGAAAGTAAACTGAAATATTCCTTAAGTGATCAACAGTCTAAAGGTCCTTATTCTTGTGGAATATGTGGACTAGAAGTTTCCATGCGAAATGCTCTACGCTTACACTTAAGAAGTCATAGAGAAGGAATACTAGCTATTGACCGAAAATGTCATGTTTGTTCTGAACAATATGACACAATCAAATTACTGAAAACTCATATGAGTAAAGAACATGTTGGAGAAAAAGTATTTAAATGTAAAAATTGTCCCAAATCTTTTAATTGGAAGAATTCGCTCTTAGATCATATGAAGCGGCTGCATGAAAAGGAAAAACTTCACTATTGTAATGTTTGTAATAAGGGATTTGTGAGGAAATCTTATCTAGAGATACACGAATCAGTCCATAGAGAAGGTGTTACTAGTCTACGGAAAGGATATAAACGATATTGCTGTGATGTATGTAATAAATCATTTACCTCCTCTTCTTCTTACAAAGCTCATAGAAGAATTCATACCAGAGAAAAACCATTCAGTTGTTTATATTGTGATAAAAAATTTGTGACCAAACAACTGTGTAAAGATCACATGTGTTCTCATACCAACAACTATCCCTATCATTGTGATGTTTGTGGTAAATCATTTACTAGACCAGGGCAATTAACCACTCATAAAGAAACACATAACGGAAAAATAGACTCTAACAGATCCTATAAATGTGATTTTTGTGATAAATCATTTACTTCATCTTCTACCCTTAGAGCTCACAGAAGTATACATACTGGAGAAAAACCCTTTGATTGTTTATACTGCGGTAAAAAATTTGTTACAAAGAGAGGCTGCTCTGATCACATGACAATACACACCAATGTAAAACCTCATAAATGTGAAGAATGTAATAAAGCATTTCTTCGTCCAGGTCAGCTGACTATACATAAAGAAATTCATAAAGGTGGGAACCCGTTTACTTGTGAAACATGTGGCATGTCTTTTCCAACTCAAGGAGGTTTGAAATATCATTTTAAAAAACATGATCCCAACTTTAAAGCAGATTCTACAGAATGTCATTTCTGTGGTAAATCATTTGTTCATATTGACCTCCATATTAAAACTGTACACACTGGAGAAAAAGACTTCATTTGTGAAGTTTGTGGTAAGGCATTTGCTGGGAAAAATGGTCTGAAGAAACACATGGAGACCCATTCTGGAGCTAAACCATTTCAGTGTGAGATATGTTGTAGAAGTTTTCTGCGTAACACTGCTATGATGAGACATATGACTATACATAGTGAGGAGAAACCGTACGTTTGTGAAATTTGTGATAAGTCATTTCATAGAAAAGATACTTTAACAAGTCACCAGAAAGTTCATTTTAAAAATATAATTCAATATGCAACTAAATTTTGAAACTTTACAATCAAATGATAGAATTTTCACTGTTGCGTAAAATTTCTTTGTATTGTCCCACTGTGGATTATCACAGTGTTCACAGTGTTCAAAAGACAAAATGAAACAAGTTTTCTGAGTTGAAGGATATAAGTTATAATAATATAATACTCATATAATATAATATTAAAACAGAACCTGAAACATGTTGTTTCTCACTGTTATAATATTCAGACAACTGAAGATCACACAGTGTGAAACTCTGAGTAGCTATATGTTTCAGGTTCTGTTTTAATATTTCTAAATGGCTGTATAATTTGATGTATTGAGCACTATTTTAATAGTGAAAATGTTTTGTTATTGTACTTACATAATGTCTGAAAATCACCATAATAGTCAATAAAACCATTTCATTGACAAAATTTCAAAATGTGTAACAATGTGTTTAATAGTTAGTGTTTTTGTTCAACTAAAATAGACTTTTATATTGTCTGGATATAATCTCAAACCTTTCTGTTTTCATTTGATGTCTAGATTTGTTAACTCTATCTGTTCAGTTCTGTTAATGTTTAAAAACTATTAATTTGTGTAAATTGTGCTCTGATATTATTTTGCTATAGATATCTCTATTTCTGGTTGTATATCTTTGATTTATTTCCAAACATTTTGTTGCCTAGGATACAATTGAGGTACAACATTTGGCCCTGAGAAACTGGCTGACTCTATTGACCGGCAGCATTATGCCTGTGTTAAATTGGTTGCCAAAAGAAATGCCTGGTTATTTGTCCTATCAGCATTGACATTACCAAGGGCTAACATAATTAATTGTTTAATTTTTCACAAATTTGCTTTGCTCTCTCCATCCATATTGCACCGTCTTCATTAGCCCACAAGGTGCAGAAGAGTAGGACGTAAAACTCAATTCATTTCATTTTCATTTCATTTCCATCCATATTGCAAGTTATCACTTAATATGGTCTAACCATTTCTAGACATTTTTGTTCCTGCACCACCCGCTAGGATGGTTGATAGATAAGCCGATAAATTAGCTTTTGTATCAATGTTTTGTAATATATTATATAAGAATAAGATTGTAGGAATATTTGTCAAGTTGTGAACTGAATCAGAAAAAGGCTTTATTAAGAAGCTAGAACGCACAATCGTCAGTCAATTTTGAAGCATCTAACCTCTGTTTGAAAAGCCATTGCCTTAACTCTATTAACTTCAGATTATCTGTAGAAATTAAGCTTGTACTAAGCTACCAGCAATAAACAAATGAGTGATAAAGCAGACGGAAAATCTTTAAATCATTAAGTTGACGTAAAGTGGAGTCTCAGAATGCAGGAGAGCATTTTATGTTTAAAAAAACAACAAATTTCCCATTCTGAGGGCACTTAATTCCCTGCTATCGGTATTGATGGTTTCACTATAATCGAGTGGGTTTAGAATAAACGATAACACTTTTCATTTTAGAAAGTAGGGAGATTTAGGAAAGAGGAAGTTGTTATAAAGATATCCCCTTTATGGTATTTAAGTTCTAACGTTTCTATTGAAAGGAAATTGATAGTGTATTGAAGAGGTTCCGATGCAGATAGCCTAGTCATGGAGATAAGATTACTAGGCGGAAAGGTGATCTAAATCAGTGGCTAAACTACCATAGGTACTGGTTGAACCAAGTCCACGGGCCCCCGTCCTAAGGAGATCCCTACACCCAGAACAAAAAGTGTACCAAAGTAAGTACCCGGTATCTAAAAGGTTAACACACAACATAAAATGGTTCAAAACATATGCTTGGGCCTTACCACCATCACGTCTTTATAAAGAGAATGAGACACCCAGTTAGTGCCAAAGCAACTACAGACTGAACCTCTTTAAATCTTATATTAATACAGTTTTAGAATGCAGGAGAGCATTTGATTATATTAAACAAATATTATCGTGGGAGGGGCTCCAACCGACATAAGTCCAAGGGCTCACAGATTTACAGATAAAAGTTGATTAAACAAGGGCATTGAAGATGACCTAGCGGAAATCCTTAATCCGATCGAGTATAGAAAGGAAAGGGAAGTAAATTACATACGTCATGGGCATAGCTATAAAAGGAAAAGTAGTAAACTTGAGAGTATTATACATCTTAAGATCTCTGTATCAAGATTGGTTGTTGTATTATTGAATCAGCAAGTATATATAATAACAGTTGTAAAAGTAAGTAATTATATGTTTATTTTTTGTAAAACTCATCTGTGACTTTGTAAATAAGCACATTTGTATTTATATTTCCATGAAACAAACTGAAGGCTTTTTGATAACATTTGCAGTTTTGTGACAGAGAGCTTCGTCTGTAAATTTTGTCATAGTTTCGCTTGCTTATATTAACCTTGTGAACAGACACATCTGTCGATTCTGATCATAATACTATACTCTCAATTCTGATAGATGTACCATTGTGCCAAACACAGCATACCTGCTAGTTGATATAGGTATTGGGTAAGTGAGTGAATAACTTCTGACAAACTATTTGTTTTATTTCAGATGGTTGACAAAAGGGCAGTTGATATCCTCAAGGATAACGTAAAGTTTGTACAAGAGGACTTGATGTTCACGATGGATCTACATTCAGCCGGTCTGGACGAGTTAGTCAAGAGCAAAATGTCGACTCACATTATCAATAAAACACAGTTGATATTTCTAGAGAAAGGGAATGATAAAGCTGGCTTTAAACACTTGTGGAAGGGACATAAAGATGATTATGCCAAACTCTGCGGTGTAAAATCTGAATCGGAGGTCCTGAAATATATCCAAAGAATAGTGGGTATGGGCCATTATGCCACGTACGGTTATGAACTGGGAAACGGGTTTGTGGTCGTATATCAGATACATGAGAAGCTGTTTTTAAGGGTTGCTATCGGATTTAATGGTTTCATCGTATCGGCTTATCCTTCAACCAATAAAGATAAAGAGGACAAAATGGATTATTGAGTTTATGTCAATTGATAATTGAGGACATTGATAATTATGTACGTGCATAAATAAACATGCGTTGAAAAATACTGTGTGCTAAGGTGAACCAAACATATTGCCCATTGCTGTTCCTGCAGCTAATCCGATAATGCTTTGGTTTGGAAATTCCCTAGGATTTGCATACTATCATGAGCTACTAGATTTTTTTAATCCGCATGTTTATATTGCTTGTATATTATATTAGATTTGTTTAATGGGACGGATGTGCCTTTTTTTGGTGGTTAATTTGCATGTTGAATATCATATGTAAATAGTTTTCAGAAGTATTAGAAATGTACGAAATACGAATACATAATTCTTTTAAATATACTTCAGTCTAGTAATTTCTTTTCTATAGGATGTATTTTCTATATATTGTAGTGTCCACAAAAAGATTCATCTTCATAATTCTGGACACACATGGATTTGAAGGCTCAAATTTCTACACTATTACTGATGTCCGTTTCTGAGACTAAAGTATAATTGGTCAAAAAAATAATGGCGCAGCTGTCCCTGTAATAACTGTTAATGATCACACTGTATGTATGGGTTGATTGCTTCCAGCATTGCTATATTTATTCTATCTATAAATAAAGTGGATTGCTCGTGTATTCAATCGGTACAAATATGTCCATTGCAAAATTATTTTCATTGATCATTTTGGTTCTTCACTTTGCTCATCTGTGGCACTCAGTTATGGCTAAAAGATTTGGAAACAAGGTGCTTGACGATTCTCGATATTGGGTGGCAAGTAAAAAAACAATTAGACATATCTCTACAATTATGGGGTCAAAATATTATGAAATGAAAAGTGCTATTGTTTTTTCTGAGCCACCCAATATAAATACAAGGTGGTTCAATGTAACACTGTATCATTTTATTACACAGATGAAATATACAACAAAATCTTAACAATATACTCTTATAATCTTTACAAAATACATGTACACATTCTGAATACTCCATTGAACATACCATACACATATAGCCTCTTGTTAGTACACACAATATTTAACGTCTAACAATATACATCAAGATAGCTTGCCAGGCAAGGTAACATACCCCAACAGACACTGTCAGATATGATAATTTTAGTAACTACAATTGATGTTTTTCTGCTTTTTTTGAACAGTGAGAATTTTTTGTCATTAAATTTTCTAATATTATAGAAAACAACTGCAATATAATTTCACCACACATGTTTCATCAAAAGCTGTCTTACAATCAAAAGCTGTCTTACAATCAAAAGCTGTCTTACAATCAAAAGATCTTCTAGTCAAAACGTAATTTCTATCAAAAAACAAACAGTTATAATTGTGCAATAACAAAATATTTTCACTGTTAAAGTAGTGTTCAATACATGATTGTACAGCAATATAGAAATATTAAAACCAAACCGAACCTTAAACATATCGTGACTCAGAGTTTCATGCTATGTGATCTTCAGACAACTGACCTATTTTCAGCCTATAGTTATGATTGTATATTAGAAATATGTTGTGATTTTATATGGCTAACTAACCTATCTCTTCTAGCAAACGACTGATCACAATATTCACAGTTATGAGGTTTAAAACCATTATGTATTCTCTGGTGTCTCTGAAGACTGTTCTTTCTACTGAATTTTAACCCACAATCTTCACATTCAAAAGGAGTTTCATTAGAATGAATGATCATGTGTTTTCTTAAAGAATTTTTGATGGCGAAAGACCTAGCACAAATATGACAAGTAAAAGCTTTTATCCCTGTATGAGTTGGCATATGATTTTTTAAAGATCCTTTCTGGGTAAAGTGCATACCACAGATTTCACATTTATGGGGTTTTAACCCACTATGTGACTCCACATGACATCTAAAACCTGTCCGTGAAATAAATGATTTACCACAAATTTCACAGAAGAATGGGTCTCCATCTGTGTGAATTTTCTTATGAAAATTTAACTGGTCTTTACGATAAAAAGCTTTAGGACACAAATCACATTTAAAAGGTCTTTCACCAGTATGTGTTAATATGTGTTCTTTACAACTAGCTTTGGTGGCAAACGATTTACCACATAAATGACATACATGGGGCCGAATGCCAGAATGAAGTTTTACATGGTTTCTCAATGTAGTTGCTTTGGTAAACGTGGCCAAACAAATGTTACAACTAAATGGTCTATCACCAGTATGAACTCTCATATGTTCCTCTAATCGTACTCTCTTGATAAATTTCTTATCACACAGTTCACAGGTTAGAACACCCTCCCCTGTATGTTTCAGTTTCTGATGATCCTTCAACTTTCTACCAGTAATATAGGATTTATTACATTCATCACATTTGTAAGGTCTCTCTCCAGAATGGATCCGAGTATGTTCTTGTAAACTGGCTTTAGTTAAAAAAGTTTTCGCACAAATTTCACAAATAAATGGTCGAATTCCACTGTGAATGTTTTTATGAACTTTGAGAGGTTGTAAAGTAGTAAAACTACGCCCACAAACATCACAAACAAAAGGTCTCTCTCCAGTATGATTTCTCATGTGTGCCTCCAAATCACCTTTTCTGAGAAACTTCTTGTCACATTCAGGACATTCTAAAAGTCCTTCTCCAGTATGTTTGAGTCTAGTATGAACTAACAATGTCCTATTGTTTATAAATCTGGCCTCACAATAGTCACATTGATGAGGTTTATCACCAGTATGGAGTTTAACATGGTCTTGTAGTCTATATTTAGTAAGAAATGATTTATTACAGATCTCACAAACGAAGGGTTTCTCTCCAGAATGAATTTTACCATGAGCCTTTAATGACTGAGCAGAAATGAATGATTTTTCACAAGCATCACATTTAAAGGGTTTCTCTCCTGTATGAGTTCTCATATGAGTTTCTAAATCATATTTTTTAACAAATTTTTTACCACATTCAGAACATTCTAAGAGACCCTCGCCAGTGTGTTTAAATCGTGTGTGATCGTACAGAGCTCTAGCCGTGATATAACTACAATCACAGAAATCACACTTGTAATTTCGGTCTCCTGTATGCAGCTTAGAATGATCCTTTAACCTATAGGAAGTTAAAAATGACTTATTACACACATCACATTCAAATGGTTTCTCTCCAGTATGAATTTTTTCATGGGCTTTCAGAGTATGGATCTTAGCATATGATTTTTGACAAACATCACAAGAGAAAGGTTTTTCCACATCTCCACTGTGAGATTTTAAATGCTCGTCTAAATCAAATCTCTGCACGAAAATTTTTTCACAGATATGACAGGGATAAAGATCCTTGCTAGTATGTTTCAGTTTTATATGATCTCCCTTAGCTTGTTCTGTAACAAATGATTTATCACACTCCTCACATTTATAGGGTTTCTCTCCTTCATGCTTTTCTGTCATATGAGTGGACAGTAGCGCACTGGATTTGAATGTCTGGGAACAGATATGACACACGTCAACCTTTTTCTTTCCTTTATTCTTCACTTCTGTTGCATGTTTTTTCATCAAGTGAGCACGCATGGCTGTCTGTCTACGAAAATTCTGACCACAGAACTCACAGGAATTGGGAGAAGTTATTATGGTTTTTGTTTCTGAGGAGTCATCAACTGATTCTTCAGTGTTTTTTTTGGGTGATACTTTACTTATCAATGATCTATCATTTTTAGGTGGAGGTGATTTTGATTCTGGTTGATTGATGGGAGTTTTTTCTGGAGTAATGGCTACTTTGCTCCTTGTGTTTCTGGTATTCTTGTTAGAATTTGCTTCTATTATACTTGGTGATTTGGAAGCTGTCGACTTCTGGGAAATTTGAACTTCCATTGGCATTTCTACATCAGTTTTGTTTGAATTTCTAAGGTCAGTATTAGGAATGGCATCCTTTGTTGCTTCATCATCAGATTTCTTCTCTAACTTTGGTTTCATATCAGCCACATGAAGTTTTTTGTGTAAGCCTAGGCTGACATTGTCTGTAAATGATCTATCACAAACATCACAATCATAATAAATCTTCCCTTCATGGTAAATTATCATGTGGGCATTCAAATAGCGAGCTGAATGGCAGATTTCCTCACATATTTTACACTTAAACGATGTATCATGGGTCTGTGAATGAGCTCTCAGCGATTCAGGGTCAGAAAAAGTCTCATTGCAAACTAAACATTGATTTGTTTTCTTAACAGATTCTCCCTCATTGGAATTGGCTGCTTTATCTTCTCCTGTTTGCAGTACGTTGGGATTTCTTGAAATTTTATCGTCGTTTTCGTTTTCATGCAACTCAATATGGTTATTGGTCACACCCTCCTGATCGTGAAATGTAACCCCTACGTTTGATTCATTTACTTCATCATACTCGTTAATTTCTTCTTCTTCCTCGTTTATCGACAATGGAGATTGGTTTGAAACATCATCTTCGTCGTCCACTGCCATTTCTCCAACAGCTGCATCTCCGCCATTATCTTCCTCGGGCTCAAGTTCGATTTCGACTTCACATTCGCCAATCGATGCGTGGTCTTCCATTACATGATTCGTAGCATCGACCTCCAAGTCAAACATTTGGCCGCAAATTCCACATTTATACACGTCTATTGACGCAGGAAACATTTCCCCAGCCTTAACTTGTTCGTTCATTTCTTAAAAGACAGTAGTTTTAGGTTGTTTCTTGTTAATTTGGGTTCTTTGTTCGACTAAGATGGCGGACAAAATTCTTCCGCATTATGTATAATTTGAGTGAGACGTTTCGTCGTATGTAGTGTACGAAACGCCTTGTCTCTAAGGTCACGAATATAAAATTGCAAATAATCTTTGAGTATTACTCCAAGGTGTAATGTACCATCTTAGAGTTTAATGTTAGCTAATATTCATGCATTTCGTACAGTTATCGATTGGACGACCGAGAATATCTTTTTTATTCTAATAACAAATAACTTAAAAATGATAAAAAAAAAAAAAAAAAAATTGAGGCACAGACAAGTCTCCAAACTTTCAAGGACACCTCCCACTAAACTGAAGACAAGCAATGATGTAATGATGGGCTAGGTCTACCTAATATATACAGGAGTAATATGGGCTATCATAAAATTATGTTGTGTTAATTCACATACCCGCTCTCCTTATTTCCTAGACTTCATGGAAAATGAACAAGGTTGAATTAAGATTGAAATTTTAGTTTTGGCTAATCAAGTTACTTGAAAATTCAGTAGCAATTTATTAATTTCCAGTAGAAAACCTTCAAATATACAATTTAATAAAATTTTAATTTTGGCTAATCTTAAGCCTAAATTGAACCCTGAAAATGTAGCAAATTTATCACTTTTGAAACAACAACCAACTTTAATAAGTTTCTTTTTTTCCAATTATGAATTTTAAATCCACTCACAACCCCCAGTGCCTCAATATAAACTTGAACTGCACTATACAGCCTTTGAATTGAAGTTTTACAGGCGGCTACTTTGAAAAAAAAAAGATACACACAGCAGATGAAGGGTGAGCTGAAGAAAGTTTTTCTTTTAGTTTTAGAAGCAAGAAACATCATTAGTATCCTTTTAACAGTGGCTTCAGTGGCGGAGCCACAGAGGTACAGAGATGGTAGCCGCCCCCCCCTCGCAGCCCTGAAAGCAAGTTTTTCAGGCAAAAACCTCAGAAATAGGTTTGAGATTCAAGAAATATCAGATATCTTCCCTTCCCCTCCCCCCCTCGGCGTAAACCTGGCTCCACCACTTAGTGGCTCTAGATATACCAGAAAGTACCATTGATTATAAATTTATTCTATTAACAAAATCTAATAATGCACTAAGCTATACAAATATAGAGTTGATTATAACATTTCTCTCAAATATATCAGTTTAAATAATATTAGCTGAAATCCTGAAATCATTTACAAATAATCTTGAATACAGGTTAATTAATCTTACTTCAATTAACATCAATTAATTTAAATCTTTACATAATTGTCCATTAAATTTAGTATTAACAAAAAAATAGTTGTTTTTAAATAGAAATTTTTTTTCAAGGCATAATTGTTATCAAATCTATATTTTCATTTTCTTACATGAAATCTCCATCAGATTAAAATGCAAATCTTGAAGTTTCAATTCCTCTTTGTTCTGAAGGTCGCTCAACTTGCCATCCATGATCGAACAAAATTGTTATATATCTCATGTTCTGGGCAATATAATATTAACCAATCAAATGCCCTGTTGAATATTGTCAGCCTGCTATGATAATTGCTTCACTCATTTTTTTGAAAAAAAATAATTGATGTTTGCCCAAGTTTACCATAGCAAAATGTATATGCTGCAACAATGTCAAACTAATTGGAGTAAAAATGTAGCAGGCCCACAACCATACTTTTAACAATGTCTTTGATTGGTTAAAATAAATTACTTAATTTTTGACGCTAATCGTCAAAATTATAATGAAAGCATTTTAAAACTATTATTTTTTCAACCTGTTTGCAGCCTTCGCAAAAGAAATCTCATAAAATAAATATCAAAATGAGGCAATACCAAGAATATTTAAAATGAAAATACGACCACTACAGCCTGCCGATATAATGGAAATTCAGAGGTTTGGCTTACTACTCATTTAGCTCAATTTCAGCCACCTGTACCTCTTTGCCAGAGCTCAATTTAGCTATCCAAAAGAATTCCAGTCCTAGTAGTAGAATTTGACATATACTGAACCAAAACAAACAAACTATATATACAGTTTTATATTCCAAGGTGTTTATAACCTTCTCATATTCAGTAATTACCCAATAATATGATGTTAAAGGCACATGGTATGTTTTTGTTGGACATTATATCTAAGAAGTGGTATGGATAACTGTAGTTTAGCTCAATCAGTTGGATAAGCAAATGACAAGATGTTTGTCTCATTCCTTTAGCACCTGTAGCATATATTGTTGATATACAATATGCTACTGGTGCTTAAGGAACATAAACGTCTGTATACTGTATCCCTTTCTAAATATAAAACTGTCTAACAATAAAATGAAGTAAATATAAATCCCTTTAAAGTCATGATACATCACAATATATTTCAAGCTTTTAAGTTAATATTTCCCTGAAACAAGACAGTAATAAAAGCCAATTGTCATGACAATTTAATCATATATTTATTTATTGTTATTTTCTGTGAACTGCCATATGACTAGTTAAAGTATCTTTTCTGGGAAAAGAGTTTCCACAAACTTCACATTTATATGGCTTCTCTCCAGTATGAACCTTTCGATGTCTACTGAGAGCTTCTTTTCGACTGAACCATTGTAAACAAACTTCACACTGAAACGGTTTTAAGTCAGAATGTGTCACCATGTGTTTCTTTAATGTTTGACTCAATCTAAATGATTTTCCACATAAATCACAAATAAATGGTTTCTCTCCAGTATGAACGTTCATATGTCCACTGAGAGAGCTAGGTCGTGAAAATAGATGACCACACACTTCACATTTATAAGTTTTACCTGCATGATCTTTAATATGATTACTCAGGCCTGGTTTAGAGTAGAAAGTTTTACCACAGATATCACAAGTGAAGGAAGTTTCGCCTGTATGACGTTTCAAATGTAACAGTAATTGATGTGGACGTTTAAATGATTTACTGCAGACATCACATTTATGAGGTTTGACTCCAGTATGTGTTAACAAATGTTCTCTGCAAGTAGCTTTGGTTGAAAATGATCTTGAACAGATTTCACACTTAAAAGGTCTCTCCCCTGAATGTAATTGTTTGTGTTTTCTCAGATTGTCAGGTTGAGAAAAGGATTTATCACATAGATCACAATCAAAAGGTTTCTCTCCAGTGTGAATTCTTCGATGTGTTTTAAGGTGTGATGCTTTCACAAATCCTTTCCCACAAAATTCACACTCCATCAGACCTTCTCCAGTGTGTTTCAATTTCACATGATAATTTTTAGAAGTATTTGATAAGAATGCTTTGCTACAATATTCACATTTAAACGGCTTTACCCCATTATGTGTGGTTTTCATATGAGCCAATAATTTAGTTTTTAATTTAAAATTTCTTCCACATAAATGACATGTATATTGCTCTGTGGCCTTTTCCTTTTCTGTTTCAGACCCTGATCCTGATCCAGAATTGTTTTTAATATCATCTTTTGATTCGGACTCGATTTCAAATTCATCATCAGCAGTGTCTTCTAAATCATCTGCCTCATCTTCATCATATTCCTGATAACTTTTACGTGCTCCGCCTCTCGATCTGGATCTTTTTTGCTTCTGAGGCATTAACAAGGCTGTAATGATTTTTTTGGTGCCACTGGAAGATTTGGACGTGTTTGACTTATCTTTTGGAGGTGGCAGTGGTATGCTGGGGATATCTACATCAGGTAAGGCTTGAAGAATTCCAACATTGCCATTTTCATAATTTTCAGTTGCATTGCCTGCATTGGTATTTGCTGTGCTCTGTTTGGCAACATACTGATTTGGGAAATTCACAGTCAAATTCTCATCCCCCTCTTCTCCAATGCCATCAGCTGCTTTCTCACACTCAGCAAGTTCACCATTAGCATGTACATCGTGATGAGATGCCAAATTTTTTTCGTCTGCAAACGATTTCCCACAAATGTCACAATCGTGGTAGATTTTTCCTTCATGAGCCACAATCATGTGAGCACTCAAATACCGAGCAGACAGACATTCCTCCTTGCATATTTCACATTTAAAACTAAGGCGGTGTTTAGCTGAGTCTTCAGCATTATTTTCCACCGCATTGTCGCCATTCTGAGTATTTTCATCCATATTTTCATTAATAAAATTGTTTCTTTGTGGGTGAAAATGGCGGACAGGAATAAGGTATGATGAGGATGAGACGTTTCGTACCATTACTAGGTCAAATTGTGTTCATTAAAATGTAATATTTTTTTTATGGATTCGCAGAAATTCAACGTAATTTTTTTGTCAAATACTTTTCAAAAGTTCTTTGTGACTTTATTTCCAGTTTGGATATATTACAAGAATTTTTTAGATAGTTATGTAAGTTGCTCTGTTCAGTTTTCTGACATGAAAAAAAATTGCAGGGAAAACCTGAGAAAAACTCAAAATAGTAGGATTTGTCAAGGATCCTGAAGGGGTAATAGAAAGGGGTTGAAAATCTCTAGATTAGAGTAATGAGCTCAATTTTATCAGAGGTTTAACATAGTTTTAATCATTTAATATACATGCAAGTTAATGTTTCTTTATATTTAATTATGAATAGTTTCATGCTTTAATAAACTATCTTTTCTAAAAAATGATTTATGACAAACTTCACATTCAAATGGTTTAGTTCCAGAATGCATTCTTGAGTGTCTTAATAAGGCTTCTTTACGACTAAAACGCTTTTGACAAACATCACATTGGAATGCTTTCTCACCTGTATGAGTCACCATGTGTTTTTTCAAAGTTTCAGATAGCCTAAAAGACATCCCACACAAATCACATGTAAAGCGTTTCTCTCCAGTGTGTACACTCATATGGATATTCAAGGAACTAGGCCTGGTATAGGAGCTGCCACAGATTTCACAAGAAAAGGACTGTCCTTTATGATCTTCTAAATGCAGTCTCAGTCCACCTTTAGAAAAGAATGTTTTACCACATAAATCACAAGTGTAAGATTTCTCTCCAATGTGAACTTTTCTATGCATTTCAAGATGGCTTGGACACCTAAACGACTTTATACATTGGTCACATGGGTAAGGTTTACCAACATGTATAAGCTTATGATCTCTGCAAGATGCAGAAGTAGAGAATGACTTGGTACAGAGATCACATTGATATATTTTCCCTGAATGTTTTTGTTTGTGTTTTGCTAGGGAAGACCTGTCAGCATAAGATTTATCACAATCAACACAAGCATATCTCAAAGCAGATCCGATATCGGTTCCGAAATGTTTCCTCAAATGTAACATCAATTGACTTGGTCGTTTAAATGATTTACTACAATGGTCACATTGATGAGGTTTCTTATCAAGATGGGTGTATGAATGATCTCTCAATGTTGATCTTGTTTTAAATGATTTGTCACATACATCACATATGAATGGTTTCTCTTCAGAATGAATTGTTCTATGAGTTTTTAAATTGGTATACTGAGCAAACTGTGCATTACAAACAGTACATTTAAAGGGTTTCTCTCCAGTATGTATTCTAGAATGCACTTTTAATCTGCCCAATGTTTCAAACTTCTTTTCACAAAATTTGCATTGATGTTTCTTATTCATTAAAAACTTTGCTATATTAGTAGTTAACCTTGGATTGGAAGATGAGTCATCTATACAAACATTACTAACATGTAAAGGCTTTCCACTTGTTATATGTGTTTTGGAATGACTGATCAATGCTGCAGGGTTTTTAAATTCTCTACCACACACGCCACACACACAATTAACAGGTTTCTGAGGAGAAACACTTTTACTGACTTTAGTCACTGGACTTTTTGAATTCTGAACACTTGATATAGGTTTCAACATAGCTTTTAAAACTTTCATTGAATTATCATTCCCTTTAGAGGTAAATGTCTTAGGATGGCTTTGTTTTGTATTTCCACAGCCATTTTTACTCGCTTCTTTCGGCACAATGGTATTTGAGGTGTCTTGTTCAGAAATAACACCAGTTGGCAGCTCTAAAGTATTAGATACGTGAGGGTTCTGTCTAGACACAACGCCATTTATATCAGAGATCTGTACTGATGATTGATTTCCAATTTCAATGCCATGGTCTGTTGTACCTTCTACAGACTCAACATTAGATTCTATATACACTATATTATCATTCAGGGCTTCTTGTTGTGGGATTGTGATTTCTGAACCTACTTCAATGATTTCAAACAGATCTATCTCCTCCTTTACCTCAATCCTATCAACTCTATCATTGGATACTTTAATGGTGATATCGTTCTCAGCACGCACCTGT